GAAACAGAATTCTGAAGAAGGGTCTAGGCCCGAAACGTCAGCCTTCCGGCTCCTCTGATGCTGCTTGGCCTGCTGTGTACATCCAGCTCTACACCTTGTTATCTCTTATGCTTAAAAATCCCTATTGCTTTCCCTATATTACCGACAGATAACGAATATAACATTTGATCACATTAAAATAAATAAGTCAAATATTAGTAAAAATGTTTTGACTTTTTAGTCAAATTCCAAGAAACATTCTTTCATCAATCGTATACATTACACAGTCCCATTAATCGCGCTGATTTTAATAACATATCTCAAACAACCGTACAAAACTTGCCCAACTGCATAGTTGTTTATTGTTATCAAACTAAACCTTATCAGCCTTGGCCATGTTTCAGAGCAAATTGCACTCTAGCTGCCGCAGTCGTACACAATAGCGCATTGCAGGTGAATCCCACTGTTACATCAGGTTAGAATGCAGAATACGCCTGGACCTCTGCTATGGTGATTTGTTTACTGACAAGTTGCAAGAGAGATGGGTATCTGGTGCTCAGTGAGTATTTGTTAACAAATTGTTAACAGGCCGGCTACGCTTTAGACAAGGGCCGCACGTTTTCCAGAATGCAGTTGCTCTTCTCCCCGCCCCAGCTACAGTTCCCGCAAAAAAACCCTGAAATTCTAGGCAATAAGTCATCACAACGCCCAACAATAAGTTTTTATGTTGCATTTTTGAACCAAATATTTTAAACAGTTATGATGGAGGGTCTCTGAAGTGAACTCAAAAACCGAAGGGAGAAGCGAGATACAACAGTTAGGGGCAGAAGGGGCCCAGACCTGGAGGGCAGGTTCTTCGAGTTGGAATTGGTGTTCTTAAGAGTCCAGACCCGACAACTTTCCTGCCCCTCTGATGCTGTCTGACCTGCTGTGTTCCTCAAGTTCCATACTCCGTTATCTCGTAATTTAATGTGTTGTGACTGGAAACTCCCCGAAAATATTTCGGTGAATGTTTAATCTTTATGATGCTACAATTTAGATTAACAATTGTTAACTTTAACAATTAAGGTTTATTACCATTGTATTTCCCCATCCATAATTTATTTTACTGTCCGCCTACAGCATCAATCATCCTATCGAGCGCCAGCCACGTTCCGGACGAAGAGTCCCACAGTTACTCGTTTATTTCCGGCGTTCGTCAATATTCGGGTATTTCCGTCATATTCGGCTCTTTCCGCCCTCACTCGGTTATTTCCGCCGTTAGTCGGGCATTGCACAATGCTTTTGGGGGCATTCGGCATTTTTTCGTTCGGAGAGCAGTCCTTGCTGTTATCTTCACAGCTTGTGTTACATAACTAAAGTTAATTGGATTATTCCTGTTCACTCATGGTCTTAGTTTCTCCTGTGGCTGTTGTGCACTCAAACTGAGGTCTGTCATTTCGCAATTGCTGATCAGAAGAAGGTGACATTTGGCACAAAATGTATTTACTTGACTTCTTAGCTGGGTGGGTTGCAGGTAAGAAATGGTAATGTGTTGTTAAAGTGTTTGAAAATGATCAGTATTTATTCCACGCATATAGTTGTCAGTTTCAGATGGTACTCAAGCTTTTAAATTATTTTTAAAAATGGAAAATTCCGCCAGCTTTTTGCCATTGCTTTATTTGTGGATTGATGTGAATGTTGCTTATTCTTATGTAGTTAAGCATTATTCTGTTAGTGAAGAACGTACTAATTTTAAAGTCGCACGTTAGAATTAATTGTCGTTGAGAATTTGTGTTTATTCAGACATAGTTGAAAGTGTTAGAAGGTCATTACTAAGAGCTGTGGGGTATGATTTATGTCTGAGGTTTCTAGATTTTGTCACATTTCAGGGACACTTTAAAATATATAACTAACTCGCCACGTTTCTTGGTTAGTGTAAACCGTCTTTCATAATCGATGCATTCCTTCTGGGGAGAGGTTTGCGGTTGTGTGGAATCCAAAGTTCTACTTGGAAGGTTATTTATTAAGGTCAAAGCTGTGGGGATTCAAAATAAATCTTCAGTATCACCAAGGGTTGGATACTTTAAGGAGTTGTATCAGTGTGAGGGAATTCAAAGAGTGATAACTATAGAATCATTGCTGCTAATTAGCATTGATGATATGAATAAGAAACATACAGGACCCCTATAAAGTGCTTTACTATTCAATGTGATCAAAGCCAGTATTCAAGTTATCTGCGTTAAACTTTTTTGACCGTGGAAAGTCCACAATCCTGTGAAGATTTCAATTGCAAAGATTCACAACCCTCAGACTGAAGAAGTTTTTCCTTATTGCAGTCCTAAATGATTTGGCCACCATTCTGGAAAACCTGGTCCCATGTTCTAGATTCCCCAGTCAGGGGCAATAATTTCTCACCGACTACCCTGTCGAGTCCCTTCAGAGTCTTGTACAATATTCAAACTTTTGGCAAAGATCTGTAGCTAGGGTTATGGGTAAGGTTGTTGACTTGCTCGCCGAGCTGGCTTGTTCTTGTTCAGATGATTCGTCACCATGCTAGGTGACATCATCAGTGGAGCCTCCAATGAAGTGATGTTATTCTACTCCGTTCGGAATTTATACTGTCTGGACCATTATGGTGAGTAGTGTCATTTCCGGTTTTGATCTGTATGGGTTTGTATATGGGGTTCATTCTATATGTTTGTCGATTGCATTACGGGTGGAGAACGATGCCTCTAGGAATTCCTGTGCGTGTCTATGTTTGGCTTGGGCTACTATGGTTACCTTGCCTCAGTTAAACTGATGGCCTTCATGGTGTGAGTGTACCGATATTAAGGAGAGTTTGTCGTGCCATTTTGCTGCTAGTTGATGTTCATGTGTTCTGATGTCTAGTTTCCTTCATGTCTGTCTGATGCAACGTTTCTGGCAGTCTTGAATGGTATTTTGTAAACCACGTTGGTTCTGCATTGTGTGGGAATGTGGTCCTTAATCCTTGTGAGTGTTTGTCGTAGAGTGGCTGTGGGCTTGAGGGACACAATGATTCCCAGTGGTCTTAGGAGTCTTCTTGTCAGTTCCAATATGTTCTTGATGTATGCCTAAAGGCATGGTTCTCCACCTGTAATGCAATGAACAAACACACAGATTTGGAAGTATCTGTGACTCTGAGAGGATTCAAAACATGAGGGATGAAACTTCAGTTGGAATCCATGTAGGGTGAGTCTGAGCCAGAGCCAATCACTGAGGAATGTAATATGGCTGTGGAAACAGATTTTAACTAATACTTGGTCAAACACCAGGAGTGACAGTGAAATTAATGACAGTGGACAAGAAGAAAGATTTGAACGGAAATCCCGTTGGAAAGAGGAGCAGGATTTCTTCAAGGTGGGCATGCCTGGAAGAGATGTGGCAGTGAGTTAAATACTAAATAAAAACCGTAAGAACTGCGGATACTGTAAACCAGGAACAAAAACAAAGTTGCTGGAAAAGCTCAGCAGGTCTGGCAGCACCTGTGAAGGTGCTGCCAGACCTGCTGAGCTTTTCCAGCAACTTTGTTTTTGTTCCTGATTTACAGCATCCGCAGTTCTTTCGGTTTTTACATAGAATTATACCCCATGTACGAACCCATACAGATCAAAACCGGAAATGACACTACTCACCATAACGGACCAAACAGTGTAAATTCTAAGTGGTGTAGAATAACACCGCTTCATCGGAGACTTCACTGATGATGTCACCTTACATGGTGATGAAACGTCTGAACGAGGACAAGCCAGCTCGGCAAGCAAGTCAACAACCTGCGTTCTCTTATATTAAGTCATTTCATGCCTGCGTTCTCTTATATTAAGTCATTTCATTTCAAAGTTGCACTGTTTGTTTTCTATTATCTCCAAGGACAAGGACAATCCTGACTTAAAACTATCATCATTCTTTCATAATCACTGGGTCAAAATTCTGTAGCTCCATCCTTGCTGCACTGTGGGTCTCCATGTAGGAAGTAGAGTTGTTCGCAGGCACTGTGGGTCTATCTGGATCCCATGAGCTGCAATAGTTCAAGGCTACAGCTCAGCACCACCTTCTCCGCAGCAATTAGGGATGGCCAATGAATGCTTGCCTAGCCAGCAAATCCCACATTCCACGAACACTTTTTTTTCCTAAGTCTTGTACAATGTCCATCTTCAGTTTCAATTTACATCAATATCTGTCATTCCACACTGCCATTTGTCATTGGATCACAGTCCTGAAGTACAACCAATCAATGCCATTCTGAAATGAGAGTGAGGAAGGAATTCGATTGCATGCAAAGTATTCAAAATTTTACTTTTGAAGAACTCTTGGGGAGCGCACGGTTACTTCCAAGAAGAATATCCAAATGAGCAGGGTTATATTGCAAGGAGCAAGTTGAAGCCTGGACTGCTTGTTTCTGTGAAGAGAATGCCCATTTATTGAGTCAAGTGCACACTAATTTTGGAGCACAAAGGAGTGCCTGTGTGGAGTTTTACATTAGGTGAAGCACAGGCCATTTCAAAACCTTCGAGCACAGCACAGCATTTACTACTGCGCTTATTAAAATTATTTTCTTCTCTTGAGGTTTATTTGGGTGGGAAATACATGGTTCAGTATCTACCCTTCAGTAGTCCGATTGGTATAATTTTCTGATTCATTTGGAACCCCAAGTCTGGCTCTTATTCAATGCAGTAGCAGGTGAAGGAGGCAAGCTTTTTAAAGCCATTGAAAGTGCTCAGAATTGAGATGCTAATCAGTCAAACCACCTCCACCAATTCAGTTTAGAGCAGTCCTCAAAGCATCCCTGAACTATGGAGTTGTTGGTGATTCACCGAGCTGACTGGTTTTCGTGCAAACATTTCATCCCCCTCTTTGGTGACATTTTCAGTGCTATCTAACCTCCATTCAAGTGCTGTTGTTCTGTTCCATTCTGAATTTATATGGTCCAGTCTGTCAGGGGGGGTAATTCTGTTTCTGGTTTTGCTCCGTAGTGGGCTGTAGATGGAGTTGAAAACCAGGTTTCCAGGAATTCTTGTGCTTGTCTTTGTTTTACTTGTCCTAGTACTGTTACATTGTCCCAGTAAAACTGATGTCCTTCTTTGTTGGAGTGCATTGAAATCAGGGAGAGTTGATCGGTTTTGCTGCGAGATACTGTTCACTTATCCTGGTGGCGAGTTTCCTGCCCGTCTGTCCTATGTAGTGTTTCTCGCAGTTGCTGCATGGTATTTTGTACATCACATTTGTCCTGCTCATCGTGGGTATGGGGTCTTTCGTCTTTGAGAGTAGCTGGCAAAGTGTGACTGTTGGTTTGTATGCTATCATTATTTCAAGAGGTCGTAGGAGTCTTGTAGTCAGTTCAGATACGTTTCTAATCTAGGGTAGGGTGGCCAGTGTGTTGGGGCATACAGTGTCTTCTTGGTATTGTTTATTTGCCAGGTATTGGCGGATGAAGTTGCTAGGATGCCCATTGTTTGCAAAGACTTTGTATAGGTGTTCCTCTTTATCTTTGCGTAGCTCCAGGGTGTTGCAGTGTGTTATCGCTCGTTTAGAGAGAGCCTTGACTCAGCTCTGTTTGTAGATGTTGTAGTGGTTACTGTTGTAATTCAGGATTTGGTCTGTGTGTGTAGTCTTTCCATATACACTGTGAAGGAATTCACCGTTGGTCGTTTGTTCCACCATTTACGTTTAGAAACAAGAGTTGATTGTTGTTCCCCTCCCCTGGTGAACTTGATCCCAGTGAATATGCTGTTAATAAGGTGGTGTGTTTCTTCTAACTTTGCTCGTTTAATGATCACAAAAGTATCGTCCACATACCTGATCCATAGTTTAGGCTGGATCTGAGGGAGGGCTGTGCGTTCCAGTCTTTGCACAACAGCTTCCGGTACGAGACCTGAGATGGGTGAACCCATGGGTATCCCATTAATTTGTTCATATACCTGGCTGTTAAAGACATAGTGTGTGGTTAGTAATTTCAGCATATTGCCCTTGCTGATGGTTTCATTGGAGGCCTGTGTTTTCGGATTGTCTAGTAGTGTGGCCAGTGTCCCCTTTGCTAGTGTCATGTCGATAGAGGTGAATAGTGCTGCATTGAAGGAGACCATTATTTCATCTTGTCGATTTTTATGCTCCTGATGTTATTCAGGAATTCCTGTATGGAGTGAGTTGCTCCATTGATAAGGTGCTTCAGTTGCGGCTCCTTGGCTGGCCTGTGTGTCGGTGTGCCCCGGTAGGGAAATTATGGGTCTGACGGGGATGTCCGGTTTGTGCATGTAACCCTTAGAATTGAGGGGTGTTTGAACGAGAAATTTTGTGCCAAAAATCTTTATACTTGAACTTGGCCAACCAACAGTGGACCTCAACTCTTGAACAAGCCATCAGCGTTAAGCAAAAAAGGACCAGAACTAAAAAGAGACTCACACTACGGGGAAAACTGATGCAGACCAAGGACCAGGATAAGAAATCCATCAGGCAAACAATTAATACACACCGAGAAGGCTGTCTTGATACAGGGACTTAACTCTAACTACAAGGTCG